GGCTTCCCACTCGGATTCCATTTCCCTTTTGGACGCTTGTTCTTGTCATTGAACCGTGCTTGCAAAGCCACTTCTGCCTTGGCCTTGTCATTACTTCTTTCATCCATTCTTTGCTCATGAGCTTCAAGGGAACTTTGAAGCTCATTCTTGGTCAATGCTGAAAGATCCTTTGATTCCTCTAGAGCCACTACGATGTTGTCGAATCTTGGCGTTAAAGAACGTAAGATCTTGGACACAACATTCTTTTCCTCTAGGGATTCACCATAAGCCTTGATTTTGTTCACTAATCGCGTTATGCGCGTCACATAGTCACATATCGACTCCTTCTCCTCAATTTGCATTAACTCGAATTGGCGCTTGTGAGTTTGTAACCTCACAACTTTGGCTTTATCAGCCCCAACATATGTCTTTTGAAGGATTTCTCATGCTTGTTTCGCGGATTCACAATCACCCACCTTTTCGAAGTTGTCGGCATCGACACAAGAATGAATCAAGAAGAGTGCTTTGTAATCTTTCTTCTTCTCTTCTTGATTTGTAGATTGTTGAGCAGCAGTAGCTTCTTCCCCAAGTGGTGTAACACCATTGTTGATGATATCAAGAACATCTTGATGCCCAAACAATACCTTCATTTGCTTTGCCCACTTGTCATAGTTCTTCGAATCGAGAATTGGGAGATTGGAAGGGATTCGATCGTTGGAAACGGTAGCCATGTTTGCAGCGGATAATTGGATCAGAACCAAGGCTCTTGATGCCAAATGTTAGAACACAAAACAATGGAGGGTGGATAAAAATGGTGGAAAGGGAAAATGGGGATGATGAAGATGAAATTGAGAGAAAGAGAGAGAGATAATTGAGGAGAATTGAGAAACTTTATTCACAATGGTATATTGGTTGTTACACACTACAATACATTCCCTTATATAGTGCTAAACATGTAACAAACAAAAACAAACTAACTAACTGTTACAACGGTCAAAACTGAAACTGCAGCCTTCAAACAGCTTATCCATTTAAGCTGTTTCTTCAAACCAACTTCTGAGCTTTATTCCCTTTCATTTATCCTACTCAAACATCAACAATTTTCTTCTCTTTTAATATATGTTCTATATTTCCCATTAAGGAGTGTACCAAATTAAGCAACATTCCCACCACTTTTATACCCACGCTTAAGAACAAGTTAGTCAAAAGACCGTAATAGCCCTGCGAAAGACCATATACTTTTCTTGAATGAATTCTTGTTGTAGCTGAGTTCTTGATATATATCCAAGAGGCAAGCAAACAATGTTTGAAGTAACAACTATTGATAATGAGGCTGTTTTTAAGATAGTAACATCAAGTACTTATGGCATAAAGACATGCATGGTTCTAAATAACGGCTCGCAACAACGATTAACATACCGCATAACTGCTACTACAATTTAAAACTATGGTGGTATGAGTAATAAGCAAGTCAAGCCGCTTCAATTCGCAGTTTTCCATGAAGAAAGTGGTTACTCGAAAAACAATAAATGCTTCTATTCTAATTTGATTAGTGGTTATGTTAAGCCTGGTAATTTAGCTTCTGTGGAGTCCAGTTTTCTCAGTAGTCTGAATGATAGAGATGGGGAGCATGTTTGGAGTTTTGATAGAGATACTTTTTGCTTAGTGGTTAAGGAATATCTTCAGATGGGAAATATCAAGGGTTTGGTTAATTTGATTATTCAAGCTCAGAAGTTTGAATCTTCAAATATCAAAGTTGATGAAATGAATGTGTTAGTATTGGATTATCAAATAAAGCGCACACTATTCTCGATGAAATGAATGCTTTGGGAGGCTCTCTTGGTCTTGGGATCTATGTGCCGATCTTGAAGGCTTACTGCAAAGAGAATCGAACTGCGGAGGCCACTCTATTGGTGATGGAGATTAGTAGTTCAGGTCTTCAGTTGGACATGGAAATTTGTTCATCATCTTCAAATACTTGATTTTCAATTTATGTTGATCTTCTCTGACAATGACTTCATTCAACTTAATATTTTTTTGGTTTAATTTTTGATGCATTGAAGGTATCGCTTCCTTGACTCGTTGAGACATTTCTTTATCATACCAGACAAAGTGACTACATCTCTTGCGTCCCTGATTCTAGACATATACACGAAGAAATTAGGAATTTTCAGGAGAATACAATAAATTCAAGATTTAAAAAAAACATGAAACTAACTTTGTACATCCCACATCCAAAAAAATGATGACATGAGTTTTGATCAGTCCACACCGTCATCAATGGAGAAGGAATACCACACTTCCATTCGATGTGATTGGAGCGGAACACACTGCGATTGCTTGATGCTGAGTATTCAGACATGGATGCTAAGGGTTTGGGTGAAGCTTGAAACAAATTCTGGAGAAGCAATTGGGGAAGAACACAAGCGAATTCTGGAAAATGATTTCTAGGGTTCACAAATTTCAAATGAGGAAGAACACATATGTGTTTTATAAACTTTTTTATTCAATTTGTTTAATTAAAAATGTTATTTTAATTTAAATGTTAAAAAAAATTAAATATAATAAGTTTTAAATGACTTGGTAAATCATTTTCATCTTGGGTCAACATTTTACTTAGCTACAACAGCGCTGACCATGCCACATAGTTCAAACCGAAGAGCGGACCAAGAAAATCGCAAGATAATTCAAAGACAGGGGCTTAAAAGCTGAGTTTTTTTAAAGAGGGCTTAAAAATTTAAAAAAAAATGTAAGTTGGGGAACTAAAACTGCATTTAAGCCTATTGTAAAATTTGGACTCAAACTAACAATACCTATGAATCATGGTTCATTGGGTTGTCCTTTCTTGAATGTCGTTGAGGTCAGTTATTTACTTTTCTCGGGCCGGTTGGGTTGTGCATGCTTCATAGCTGATGGTTGACTTAGCCTTCTAACTAGAGATGGCTGGTTCTTATTATTTTTGGATGGACTCTTTCGATAGTTTTAAAATCTCTATAGAGTCTGATTTATCTTTAAGGAGATATATGTTTTTGTCTTACTATCCTTTCTCTTAAATACGTCTAAAGGTACACAGTTCCTCAAACATGGGACATGTAAAACTAAAATATTTTAATTGAAAGTTTGTGATATTAAAAAGTTATTGTGGACGGTTAATTGGTTGAAGAGGATGATCTTGAAGATTGCGTGGTGAAATAACCCTCATATGCATACATTAAGTCCTCGGTATATTGGTACAAACTTTATCATAGTACGCATGTTTAATGATTGGTTTAGACAAAGTCGCTGGTAGGCACGAAGAAATCCTGTAGGATCTAGCATTATGTTTTGGTGGGATCCTCCCGCGAGTGCAAGAGAAGCCTAGAGGATTCTTGCATATCCCTCCCATAGGAGTCTTTGAAGCACAAGGAGAGTGCATTGGATTCTTGCATTGTGCTCTAGTTAGAGCCTTAGATAAGCGCAAGGAGAGCCTGGTGGATTCCTGCTTGGTGCTCTTCTAAGCGTCTTTGTTTTAGCTAAGGATAGCTCAGTAGGTTGTGGTTGTGCTCTTCTAAGAATCTAAATTTGCGCAAGGAAAGCCCGACGAGTTCATGCTTCGTGCTCTTCTAAGAGTTTTTGTTTAAGGCAAGGAAAGCTCAGTAGTTTGTGGTTGTGCTCTTCTAAGAGTAAAGGAGAGTCTGGCAGGTTCCCATTGATTGAGTAAAATAAGATATTGATGTATGGATGGTATGTCAGAGGGAAGTGGCAAGCAAGCGACCCCAGAAACCAGGAAAACTTTCGTTCATGTAATTGTTTCCGCATCACTAGGCATCTCAACTTTAATGTATCTCTGATACAATATTAAATAATGCATTTTTATAATCACTTCTTTTGGTATTGCCCCTAGAGTGAAATTAATATCAGTAAATAAATATACCAAATTTTCAGAATATGATACAAGGATCATATGTGACTTTTTATGAAACAACTAAAATGTAAAGTTTGATTTGTAAAACATAGTTCATGCAATCAAATTTATTCAAAAGGGAACTCGTCCCGACTTATTTCTTGACGGTAACAGCACCAAACACCAAAGTTACAATACTAGAATGAGCATGAAGCAAGAAAGTCACTTCATTATGCAGCATTCCATGAAGAGAGTGGCGGAGTATCGGAATCCTTCCATGTGCTCATACCCTCCATATATCTATCACCCCTAACAGCATCTGCTAAGGACTCAATTTCTGCCAATTCTTCTGGTGTTAGTTTGACAGATAAAGCACCAATGTTTTGATTCAAGTTCTCAATTTTGGTTGTTCCCGGTATCGGGCACACGTCGTTTCCTTGGTGATGAAGCCAGGCTAGTGCAAGCTGAGATGGTGTACACCCTTTCTTTGCAGCCAGTTCATTAACTTTGTCAAATATAGTTTGGTTCTGCTGCAGGTTTTCAGGTAGAAATCGAGGCAAATCCTTCCGGTAATCATCATTTGACAAATTCTCAAGCAACTTTGGCCCCGACGAAAAGAATCCTCGCCCAAGAGGACTATATGCCACAATTCCAATACCAAGTTCCCTAAGAAACGAAATCATAACTCATCAAGTTAGAATTCATATCTATGTAGAATCGACACTTAGGATTAAAGTCAGTGATTCAAATCATTGCAAACTAAATATCAGACCTGCAAGTTGGAATTATTTCTTCCTCAACATCTCTTGACCATAGTGACCACTCCAACTGCACAGCTGTTATTGGATGAACAGCATGTGCTCTTCTGATTGTTGCAGCTGAAGCCTCTGACAAACCAATGTATTTTATTTTCCCCTCTTCAACGAGTTTTTTAAGCTCTCCAATCTTACAAACAAAATCAAAAAAGTTCAAGGCATCACACATTCTCAATCTACATATGTCAACAAGTATATGTTATTGCAAATTAAATCAAAGAGAAATGAAAAGAATCAAACCGTGACTTCAATCGGAAGACGAGTATCAATACGATGTTGATAGTAGAGATCAATACAGTCAATATCAAGTCTCTTCAAGCTACCTACACAAGCTTCTCTCACATAAGCAGGATCACCACAGATCTCAAATTTCCCTTCCCTAAATATGGCTCCAAATTTCGTAGCCAATTCAACTTTCTCTCTCACCTCTCCCTTCAAAGCCTTTCCAAGAAGGAGTTCGTTGGTGTGAGGGCCATAGACATCTGAAGTATCAAGAAAAGTAACACCAGATTGAATGGCATGATGGATGAGAGCAATCATGTCGGATTCAGGCTTAGGAGGACCATAGAAAGCAGACATACTCATGCAACCAAGTCCTTGTAAGGACACTTCCATACCTTGTGATCCCAACTTCATTCTTCCAACTTTCGACATTGCTATGTAAAGGCTTCACAAAGTTAAAGAAAGTTATGAGTATATCTCCACCACATGTTCTATTTATAATTCAGTATCATCATAAAACTTGACCAACAAGAAATTCAAGTCAATGGATACATTTCTGCCGTAAGAGATTTTTCTTCAAATACTTGTGGCGGCACCTTTTTGTTTGCGTTTTCTCCATTTGGAAAGTTCTGAGAAGGTTGGTTTATCACTTTCATTATTCTTGTCAAACTGCCATTGTTTCTAGTCTTAAAGTGGTTATGCAAAGTCATGAAGGATCTCTCCCTTATACAAAATGAAATTAATAGCTTGTTTATGCGTTTTTGTTTTTAGTTTTTGAAAACTATTTTTAAATCTATTTTAAAAATGAGCTTTGAAGAAAAAAAATTAAAGAAAATATGTTTGATAATCTAATTTTTATAAATTGTTTTAAATTTAAATAATATTATAAATTTGTCATTAATAAAAATCGTACCACATTTTTTATTTTTTATTTTTTTCTCTTCATTCTAAATTTTAAAATTAAAAACCAAAACTAAAAATCTCTAAAATCTATTTTAATTTTCAGTTTTTAAAATTCTTGAATAAATAATAGTTTTTAAAAATAGTTTTTGTAAAATTAGACTATCAAATAAGTTTTATGATTTTCAAATTTTAATAACGCACAGTTTTACAAAACCAAATTAAACATACTCTAATTGTAGGTGATAAGGTTAAATAGTTATTGATCTATTAAAATTATGGAATTGCTAATCTCACCATATGAGTGGAATAACATCGTATAAAATTCAAAAGTACCCCACAGATTCTAGAAAATATCAAAAGTCATTTTTTGATAAAACATAACCTTGCATCATTAAACTCCATTAACAATCTTTATCAAAATCCTTGCAATTTTTTTTAATCATTCTCAATCAAAATTTTAGCTTAAAAACCCCAATCTTGTGTTTCATCATTTCAAAAGGAGCTAAAGAAATTGAAATTCAAGTTAAAAATCATTTATTTCATTCTTTATTGTTCACATTAATTTTGTTTTTGTGCTGTGAAAGTTACGTTATGTTCGAAAATATATCTTTAAAACCAAGATGAATTTCTACGAAAATGAATTTCCAAAATGTCCCATATTTCAGTTTTTAAATATTTTGTGATTTTGTTAGATTTAGTTATGGTGCAACCGAATTATTTCCAAAACAAGTTGTGTCTACGGATGGCAAAAGTGTTGTAGTAAAAGAGGTGGATGTTTGCAAAAAATTTACAACCAGACAAGAATTTGAGTTTCGTGAGCATATGCTTCAATGGATACGCACAGAGACATCTAAATTGGGGTTTGATGTTATAATTGGAAGATCTGACTACGGGTCGGATAGAAGAACTGCATTTGTGATAATGAAATGCGAACGAAGTGAGACATATAGAAATCCTCTCCATAAATTCAAACGAGATGACACTAGTTCGAGAAAGTGTGAGTGTCCTTTTAAGTTGCGTGGTTATCTATTGTCGAATGAAAATGGAAATTGAATGTCATATATGGTTTACCTAACCATGACCTATGTGTCAAGTTAGTCGGATATCCAATTGCATGTCGCCTAATGTTCGAAGAGAAGGAAATCGTTACGGACATGCTATTGAATATGACAGCCTAAAAACATACTTGCATCCTTGAACACAAGAGACCCAGAAGCATCTCAAATATCAAGCAATTGTACAATATTGGCGTCAATATTTATAAGGCCGTAAGAGGGGATAAAATAATGTTGAAGGACAAATAAGACATGCCTAAAGTCATTGTCACCGATCACGATACTATCTTGATGAATTTGGTTGCAAAAGTCTTTCCTATTTCTTACGCATTACTTTCTAGGTATTGCATCACAAAGAATTTGACAAGTAGAATTAAACCTGCGGTTAGGATGAAACAAATTAAGTTTGGAGACAGAATAATTTTCAAAGCAAACGTCATAGTGGAAAGAATAACGGATGCATGGATTGTGATAATTAAGGCTTCTACAAAAGAATTTTATGCCAATGTTGTTATACAATTCATAAAGGTGTGTGATAAATATCTAAATTTGTTGAAATATGTTGAAAGTGTTGAGAATAATAAAGTCAAGTGTGAGTTGGAGTCCCAATTGATTATAAATATGGATAGTTGAGCATTTATAAGTGGGAGAATCCATACACCTATCACCTTAATTTTTTGGGTGAATATGTGATGTCTCTCTCACTAAAATTCTAGTCCAGGTAAAAGAAAGATTGTTTATGCTTGGACTGATCAAACTAGACATCTCGAAAATACAATAACATAGGAGTTGAGTCTACCCATGCGACATTGAGACTTTGTGCATCAAATGATCCAAAATCAGCATAATGAGATACAAACATCATTTGATCACAACATTACTGTGTTGGAACATAGATTCAAAGACAACAAACTTTATTCTAAGTTGTTTGACAACATATCTCGGGCCGAATTGAATTTTATTTTTCATGAAGCAAAACTAGCCGAGTATACAGGTTCCGATAGCATAAAATATGGTTGTACACTAAGGAAAACGTATGGGCTCCCATGTGCTTGTCTAATTTAGAAAAAGGTGAAACTTGATAGCCCGATACGAATGTATGATGTTTGAACTCACTAGAAAAAGTTATGGTTTGATGATGATGGTGTGATGAAGGACGGTAAATCAAATATATTTATCTTGACCGAATGGAAAGTGATACAAGAGGTATTTTTGAAAGTCAGTGACAATATGAAACTCCACATCAAAAAGAAACTGAGGAAAATTGCTTATCCAAAAACCACTTATTTGTAGGTCAAACCAACACCGAGTGACAATTCAACGATGCAATATCCTTCCTATTTTGAACATGTTGACAAACATTTTTTGGATTCTCCAACTCTAAAAAATCAAACAAGTGTTTTCAAAGGATCTTACATTAGAAAACCACCTCCTTCACCACCTCCAACAAAAATCTCATTCATCGAGGAGAAGTTAATTTTTATGCACAAACACATTAAACGTATCACCAATGTTAAGGGTGACGGTAACTGCGGTTTTTGAGTTGTTTCCGCTTTACTTAATAAATGAGAAAGAATGTACGGTTTCTCGGAAACATTTTTTCCAAAGCACACTGCCTCATGATGACTTCTCAATAAGTGTACTGATAATGTCGCAGTAATAAAAAAAGTTGAATCCACATGGATTGCTATTTAACTAGACAATGTTGTGCAATGCATAGAAAATACTAAATTGGGGGTGCGTTTTAATTGGGAAAAGAAAATAAAGTGTTCTGACAATACTACGGATGCAGTCAAGTTATGTATAGAATCCCTTATTTATCTATTATTTATGTTCGATGTATTACATGAATGATAATGTTACTATTATTCTACAATGAATTAGCAAAACTGCTATCCTCAATCCCTTGGTTTATAACTCACTAATGTATACTTGGAGTTTTCTATCCCAAGTCCACCAGTGTAAGCAAGATTAGGCAATAAAATATAACATTAATTCCTAAGCCACTACTCGGAGTCTCCTATCCCTATTCAAGTAGGGTGAGAAAAAAAATTCCCTAGGTCTAACACATAGACTAAGAGTCAGTATTCCCTATGTGCCCAAAATCATATTAAAAGAGTATACCACATAAAAAGCATTAAGATTAAGGTGCAATTAAATAACATTATAAATCAAACTACTCATGCAATAACAAATCAAACTTATGTCCTAACAATATCAAAATAGGTTCATGAAACACAACCTAACCTAAAGAGAATTAGCTACTCATAGTGCAAACTACAATACCAAAATCAAATAAGAAGGTTGCATAAGAAATCCCTTGAAGAATTGGCCTCCAATAGTTTCAAATATGCCCTCTAATGCTGTAAACTCTTCCTTCACGTGTAAAAATTCAAAACCCTTGAAAAAATGTCAACTTTCCCATTTAAAGCCTTCATAATGGATCATAATGTGTCAGAAAAAGCCCAGAAAACAGTCATCGCGCGCGTGATACCCTATATTGCACGCACAATGCACCTTTTACTTTCCTATCGCGCGTACGATGCTTCACGATGTTGCGCATGATTATTCTAGTAGCTGCACGTTTTTGCTCCCTTTTTCACATGATTTTCACTAAGTCCATATTTCTCCATACTTAGTAATTTTTTCTTCTTTCTTTGGCTTTTATTCTTCATTTTTACTCCTCTTTAACTTGTTATGGTCCGTTTCTTTGACCAAAAGCTTGTAATGATAGAGTGTCATCACATCACTTCCAAATCCAAATAATCGTATTATGTGTATCGTGTGGCTTTCAAAGTCACGACACTTTGCTCAAGTTTATTTGAAATTGGGATGCTCTATACCACTGACATCATCGGAGTGGATACCTTATTCATCCATAAAAGTGGAGACATGGATGGATCATTTCTTGGAAAGGATGCAAGAGTTCTCCAAATTGAGCGAGATTGATAAAAAATCAAACAAACAAAAGTCAAAGGCGGTACCACCCATAGATATAGATTTAGTCGGCGACACTTGTTTCAGTTTATTTTAGTGTTTATATGTAATATTGTATCAATATTGATGACATCAAATATATACATTTTCAAAGAAATTAACACATGTTTTAGTTTCCCTAATTTTTTAATTTTTTTCTTTCCAAAACAGGTTCCATCTCTCACTGTTATGTGTTCCTGCAATGTTGTGTATTTCTAGAAATACGTCTTCGGATGCACCCAAACGGTTAAAAAAAATACAAACAGGGTGGTTTTGAAGATGCATTTCTAAAATGTTCCCTGGTACATGATAGAAATTCTTAGGTTCATATTGGTTCAGAACTTGTATAAATATGAACTCCCATTTCATTTTTTTACACCATTACATTACATCAAAATAAAAATCAATTAGAATACTGAATATGTCTATGTCAATGCAGCGGAGCCATCGGTTGCATTCAAGTTCACTGAGTATACGCCTCTTGATGATCTGAAATTC